ATATTCAAAGCCTCCTCAAATATTTCTAAATCCTAATACCCAAATAAAATACTAATTTTGTGTTGCGAGATCCCTATGAGCAAAGTAATATTGCATATTGCAATAAACTATTTGAAGCAATAGTTAATAAGTGAATCTTTGAATTACATAGGGGCCCAGTTCCTGAATCAAATTCAGAGCTGGGGGGCGCTGGCTGGCGCAGTTGGTAGAGCGCCCGTACCATGTACTGCGGCTATAGTCCTTAAGGCGGTTGTCCCCGGTTCGATTCCTGGGCCATTCGCTGCATGTCTTCCCCTTCTCTCTCAACCCTCTTTCTTGTCAGATTACTGTTCAATAAAAGCCAATAGTGGCAGAAAAAGATTAAACTTTTTTTTTTTTGTTTTTTTTTTATCAACAGGTGTAAATGTCTTCCACTGTGTGCAAAAATGTCCCAACTCCAATGCATACACGTATTTATTCTTAATGCATTTTATGGAGTAAGATCAAAACTTCTGGAGTTGGGCCACTGTTGCACGTAATTTTGCATTGACATATAGGTGGCAGCGCCCAAGTTAGGCTCCATGTATGTACATTTAATTATTTTAATGTTTGGGCAAGTTCACTTTTATGTCTCAAGTTTGAAATGACGTTTCTTTCCCATTAAAATGTTTTGCACAACATGGATGTTTTTTTATAATAAGGAGACAATGCTCTTCTGCTTAAAGCACACAGAAATATCAAAATACCTTTAATAAGGTTTACATTATTAACAGTAACTTGAATAGGCTTGGGGTGGTAAGCAGTATCAACCAGTATCAAGGTTCACCAAAGTGTTTAAAAGGTTATGGCTTTAAAAGTTTCAATCACACTGAAGTCCTTTTCTTTTAGACACCAGAGAAAGTAACTAGAAAGTAACTAGAATTTTCTCAGAAAGTAAAAACATAGGGTGCTGTTAGGGTGTTTTAAGACTACAACTGGCACGCTACAAGAGGCACATCTATCAAGCAGCTGACTGTAGGCTAGCTAACTGAGTGGATAGCCCGACCAATTAACTAGCTAATATTAGCTTTTTAGACTCATAGTATTACTCTGTATAATAGACCCCAGAATGCAGACGCACAGACATCTTAACCGTAAGTAAGAACGGTTTATTTTTTAGCAAGGCAAAACAGGCACAGATGACAGCAAGGAGTAGTGATGTTTCCACGATGAATACATAACAATGGAGTATATATGGAGCGTGGTGCATGTGAAACAAGACGACAGATTACATGATGCAGGTGAACCGAATGAAGCTGTTTGCTTTACTGACAGAAGCAGGGAGAACAAAGCGTGACTAGGGCAAAACAGAAATCCAATGATACAAACTAACCGGGAGAAAACATAACTTACAAAACAACTAGAAAACAATAAGAGACTGAAGCACCACCAGTAAAATAACAAACAGAAGCAGGATCCAACACACAAACTGGAAATAAGAATAAATAAAACCCAAACAAAAACCAAAAACACCCTCAAATCATGACATTATGCTTAAGTATGTTAACATTAACAGTAAATAAAGGACATAGAAAACAATGTTTTAACTGCAAAAAGAATAATTTGAGCAGCAGTAAGAATAATATATATATATATATATATATATATATATATATATATATACAGTGCAGACCAAAAGTTTGGACACACCTTCTCATTCAAAGAGTTTTATTTATTTTCATGACTATGAATATTGTAGCTTCACACTGAAGGCATCAAAACTATGAATTAACACATGTGGAATTATATACTGAACAAAAAAGTGTGAAACAACTGAAAATATGTCTTATATTCTAGGTTCTTCAAAGTAGCCACCTTT